TATACAGTATATAAGACAATCACTGAAATAAATGTGGGATGAGGCTCTAGATCAAAAGGAAAATGGATTTTAAATTTACTCATATGCATTCCTTATTTCCACGTTCTCAGAACTATACAGCCAGAGTTCCAAACACAGACAGAAGTGTTACCCTTTCCTCCTTAGATCAGCAGTGACACTCAGAGCTTTTAAAATCAGTGGCTGTTGCTATGAAGGAACTTTGCTGGTGCGAGGGCCACACACTGCGCTGTTAACCACAAGGTTAGTGGTTTGAACCCACCAGTGGCTCCGCAAGAGAATGTTGAGGCTGTCGGTACCTGTGAAGATTTACCGCCTTAGAAACCTAATCTACTTCCTAGCAACGAGTCTTTTGAGTGGTTGTTAAGTGCAATTAGGGACTCAGGCACATGACAGCAAAACAGGGTTTAGTTTAATGTCATTCTTACAATCGTTATGTTTGAGCCCATCGTTGTAGCCACTGAGTCACTATAGCTCCTCGACAGTCTTCCTGTTTTTCTGATTTTCTACTGTACCAAGCATGTTGTCCTTTTCTAATTTTGAAAATTAATGGAAACTGTAACTGAGTCCCATTATGTAAAAATACTCTATAGAAATGTTTTCAAAACCCATAACAAATCTACAAGACAAGTAGTTTTGTTATATTGTATAAAGGATGAAATTGAGGGTTAGAGAATTAATTTACTCAGCTTTGCCAAGTTGGCTTGCTTTCCCGTAACTTGGAAAACTGACAGCTCTTGATCAAAAAAGAAACTAACACACACAAACACACAGAGATAAATTAAAGGCAAACAAAGCAATAAATTTAAAAGCACCAAAAAATACATAAATAACAATTTTTAGAGAACTACATTCTACCCACCCATTCAATATCATGCACAGTTTATGAACTTCCAGAAACTGGTTTAGTCTGTCAGTCAGTTCTACCATGTTTCTAATACTTTGCCCAAGAAGTTCTATCTATCTCTAATCCCCATATTTCTTTAACTTTAAAATAAATTCTTCCTCCATTCCTTCATTAGCACCTATCTTTCACATAGGCCACTTAATATTCATTCCAGATTTCCTATACATGAAGCAATAACTGTTCATCGTGAAGAAACAGAGATTAAAGCTGATGATGTAAGTACTATTAGCAGATGATGACTTAATACATTCATACCACTTAACAATAAGCTGATGATGACTTTATACCTCATCTACTCTGGAAGAACAATGATTCATTCTGACCAGAACTGACACAATACATAGATACATAACAGATGAGGGTTTGTTTTACCTGGCTGCCTGTGGGGCAATGGACATCACTTTCATCTGGGGCCTATCTTAGTGTCTGATATATTCACTTGCAGTAGTGCACATCATTGGCTCAGACAGATGGAACTACATAATGGGCGCATCTTCAAGGGATGCCCTTGCCCTGACACAAAGTGAATGGTCAGGATGCTGTTCGGATTACAGCACAATGGAACTTTCTTTGAAGGTCCAAGGGAGGGGCCAGCTTGGCAATTATAAACTGAGAGAATGAGGCACCATTCTCAAGAAAGTGCTGAATACAATAAATGTATTACAATTATTTGATATTACATCCCCAAATGATAGAATAGATGCATTTGGGAATCAAGGGGAGGAAGCGTAATAGTTCCCCAAGTATTACGTTCAGAGAAATATGTGGGGAAATCGTACTTTCTGTTCTAATAAATGTAGTATCCTGCAAAGATGCTTAAACTGTGGGTCTGAGTGAATTTAGAGT